GTCTCCTTCACTGCGTTGCAAACTTCTGACTGAAATTATAATACCCTCTGCAAGGGTATAACAAGAAAGAAAGCAAACTTCGGCAAGCCGAAGTTCATATACCCTTGCAGCTATTGCAAGAATTAAACATTTTTGAAAACATTAAAATTATGATTTACTTTCGTATATGTTTAAAAACATTGAAGCTATGATGATTTGCAGCTCAATTATTTGATAGTTATTTTATATATTTTTATTATTTCTGAGGGAGCTATATGATATAGACGTCCGATTTTGATAAAATTTAAACCATAATTCTGAAATATTTAACCATTGCTATATGTCGAAGAACTACACAAAAAATTAAAAAACAGAAAAGTTATAATTTGTATACCCTTGCAGAGGGTATTATAATTTCAGTCAGAAGTTTGCAACGCAGTGAAGGAGACGTTTCCGACCCTATAAAGTATATATATTCTTGATCAGCATCACTAGTAGAGTCGATCTAGCCATGTCCGTCTGTCCGTCCGTCTGTCCGTCTGTCCGTCTGTCAGTCTGTCCGTCTGTCCGTCTGTCCGTCTGTCCGTCTGTCCGTCCGTTTATATGCAAACTAGTCTCTCAGTTTTAAAGCTATCTGCATGAAACTTTCCCAAAAGTTGTCTTTCTATTGCAGGTAGTATATAAGTCGGAACGAGCCGGATCGGACGACTATAGCATATAGCTCCCATAGGAACAATCGGAAAAATAATTGAAAAAAAAATTGTAACTTTGCTGTTTTTTAAATTTTTGTTTAGTTCTTCGACATACTGCAATGGTTAAATATTTCAGAATTATGGTTAAAATTTCATCAAAATCGGACGACTATAGCATATAGCTCCCATAGGAACAATCGGAAAAATAATTGAAAAAAATTATAACTTTGCTGTTTTTTAATTTTTTTTAGTTCTTCGACATACAGCAATGGTTAAATATTTCAGAATTATGGTTTAAATTTCATCAAAATCGGACGACTATATCATATAGCTCCCATACAAATAATAAAAATATATAAAAGAACAATCAAATAATTAAGCTGCAAATCGTCATAGCTTCAATGTTTTTAAACATATACGCAAGTAAATCATAATTTTAATGTTTTCAAAAATATTTAATTCTTGCGATAGCTGCAAGGGTATATGAACTTCGGCTTGCCGAAGTTTGCTTTCTTTCTTGTTTTCTTTTATTTTTCCGATTGTTCCTATGAGAGCTATATGATATAGTCGTCCGACTTTGATGAAATTTAAACCGTAAATCGGAAATATTTAACCATTACTAAATGTCGAAGAACTAAACAAAAAAATAAAAAACAGAAAAGTTATAATTTTTTTTCATTTATTTTTCCGATTGTTCCTATGGGAGCTATATTATATAGTCGTCCGACTTTGATGAAATTTAAACTGTAAATCGGAAATATGTAACTATTACTAAATGTCGAAGAACTAAACAAAAAATTGAAAAACAGCAAAGTTATAATTTTTTTCATTTATTTTTCCGATTGTTCCTATGGGAGCTATATGCTATAGTCGACCGATTTTGATGAAATTTAAACCGTAAATCGGAAATGTTTAACCATTACTAAATGTCGAAGAACTAAACAAAAAATTAAAAAACAGCAAAGTTATAATTTTTTTTCATTTATTTTTCCGATTGTTCCTATGGGAGCTTATGCTATAGTCGTCCGATCCGGCTCGTTCCGACTTATATACTACCTGCAATAGAAAGACAACTTTTGGGAAAGTTTCATGCAGATAGCTTTAAAACTGAGAGACTAGTTTGCATATAAACGGACGGACAGACGGACAGACGGACAGACTGACAGACGGACAGACGGACGGACAGACGGACAGACGGACATGGCTAGATCGACTCGCCTAGTGATGCTGATCAAGAATATATATACTTTATAGGGTCGGAGATGTCTCCTTCACTGCGTTGCAAACTTCTGACTGAAATTATAATACCCTCTGCAAGGGTATAAAAATAAAAAACAGAAAAGTTATAATTTTTTTTCATTTATTTTTCCGATTGTTCCTATGGGAGCTATATTATATAGTCGTCCGACTTTGATGAAATTTAAACTGTAAATCGGAAATATGTAACTATTACTAAATGTCGAAGAACTAAACAAAAAATTGAAAAACAGCAAAGTTATAATTATACCCTTGCAGAGGGTATTATAATTTCAGTCAGAAGTTTGCAACGCAGTGAAGGAGACGTTTCCGACCCTATAAAGTATATATATTCTTGATCAGCATCACTAGTAGAGTCGATCTAGCCATGTCCGTCTGTCCGTCCGTCTGTCCGTCTGTCCGTCTGTCCGTCCGTTTATATGCAAACTAGTCTCTCAGTTTTAAAGCTATCTGCATGAAACTTTCCCAAAAGTTGTCTTTCTATTGCAGGTAGTATATAAGTCGGAACGAGCCGGATCGGACGACTATAGCATATAGCTCCCATAGGAACAATCGGAAAAATAATTGAAAAAAAATTATAACTTTGCTGTTTTTTAATTTTTTGTTTAGTTCTTCGTCATATAGCAATGGTTAAATAATTCAGAATTATGGTTTAAATTTCATCAAAATCGGACGACTATAGCATATAGCTCCCATAGGAACAATCGGAAAAATAATTGAAAAAAAATTATAACTTTGCTGTTTTTTAATTTTTTGTTTTGTTCTTCGACATAAAGCAATGATTAAATATTTCAGAGTTATGGTTAAAATTTCATCAAAATCGGACGACTATAGCATATAGCTCCCATAGGAATAATCGGAAAAATAATTGAAAAAAAATTATAACTTTGCTGTTTTTTAATTTTTTGTTTAGTTCTTCGACATATAGCAATGGTTAAATATTTCAGAATTATGATTAAAATTTCATCAAAATCGGACGACTATAGCATATAACTCCCATAGGAACAATCGGAAAAAAATTGAAAAAATTATAACTTTGCTGTTTTTTAATTTGTTTTTTAGTTCTTCGACATATAGCAATGGTTAAATATTTCAGAATTATGGTTTAAATTTCATCAAAATCGGACGACTATATCATATAGCTCCCATACAAATAATAAAAATATATAAAAGAAAAATCAAATAATTAAGCTGCAAATCTTCATAGCTTCAATGTTTTTAAACATATACGCAAGTAAATCATAATTTTAATGTTTTCAAAAATATTTAATTCTTGCGATAGCTGCAAGGGTATATGAACTTCGGCTTGCCGAAGTTTGCTTTCTTTCTTGTTTTTTTCATTTATTTTTCCGATTGTTCCTATGGGAGCTATATGCTATAGTCGTCCGATTTTGATGAAATTTAAACCGTAAGTCGGAAATGTTTAACCATTACTAAATGTCGAAGAACTAAACAAAAAATTAAAAAACAGCAAAGTTATAATTTTTTTTCATTTATTTTTCCGATTGTTCCTATGGGAGCTATATGCTATAGTCGTCCGATCCGGCTCGTTCCGACTTATATACTACCTGCAATAGAAAGACAACTTTTGGGAAAGTTTCATGCAGATAGCTTTAAAACTGAGAGACTAGTTTGCATATAAACGGACGGACAGACGGACAGACGGACAGACTGACAGACGGACAGACGGACGGACAGACGGACATGGCTAGATCGACTCGCCTAGTGATGCTGATCAAGAATATATATACTTTATAGGGTCGGAGATGTCTCCTTCACTGCGTCGCAAACTTCTGACTGAAATTATAATACCCTCTGCAAGGGTATAAAAACAGAAAAGTTATAATTTTTTTTCATTTATTTTTCCGATTGTTCCTATGGGAGCTATATTATATAGTCGTCCGACTTTGATGAAATTTAAACTGTAAATCGGAAATATGTAACTATTACTAAATGTCGAAGAACTAAACAAAAAATTGAAAAACAGCAAAGTTATAATTTTTTTCATTTATTTTTCCGATTGTTCCTATGGGAGCTATATGCTATAGTCGTCCGATTTTGATGAAATTTAAACCGTAAATCGGAAATGTTTAACCATTACTAAATGTCGAAGAACTAAACAAAAAATTAAAAAACAGCAAAGTTATAATTTTTTTCATTTATTTTTCCGATTGTTCCTATGGGAGCTATATGCTATAGTCGTCCGATCCGGCTCGTTCCGACTTATATACTACCTGCAATAGAAAGACAACTTTTGGGAAAGTTTCATGCAGATAGCTTTAAAACTGAGAGACTAGTTTGCATATAAACGGACGGACAGACGGACAGACTGACAGACGGACAGACGGACGGACAGACGGACGGACAGACGGACAGACGGACATGGCTAGATCGACTCGCCTAGTGATGCTGATCAAGAATATATATACTTTATAGGGTCGGAGATGTCTCCTTCACTGCGTTGCAAACTTCTGACTGATTATTATAATACCCTCTGCAAGGGTATAAAAACTTTTGAAAATACGGAGCTGCGAAATGAGAAGCTGATGGTCGTTTGGTGGTCCTATCGATAGTTTCAGTTTACACAAAGCAAGCGAAACATTTTTTCAATAGACATTTTCGGTTTATTTGTTTTACTACTCATAAATACTAAATTTGACAAAAATATATCTTAAATCATACACTTATTGAAGGTCGATGGTGCATCAAGGCGGCTGCTGTGCGAATGATCTCTTGAAAATCGATCAATAGTTGTATGTTTTAACGTATAATTTTGCCAGCCCTCGTTTTGGGTGTGAGTCGCGACTGACAACTAAGCAGAGGCGGAAACCTTGGTTTCACCAACTTTAATGGTAAAATATTTTTGTTAATTTAACGATTTTAAGGATATTTCCGAATACTGAAGCTACTTTTGCGGCAACTCTACCTTGAAGATGTATAAACATCGATATATATAGCAAACTATCGATGGATGCATCGATAGTGCAATCGATGTTTCTCCGCTCCTGCCCTACTTGCTTTATTAATCATTTCAATTTTTTTTTCAATTCGTTTGCTTGACGTTCACGGACGTGTATCCGCACACACCACATACTCGAATAAGTTTCGCAATAGATATATCAAAATTCTTCGTGTGGATTCTTTCTGGATCGGATGCAACACTAAATTGCCTGTGTTTTCCCGCTTTTCAAACGACGCAAAATTCTCAGTGCAAGAAAAAAACGACCATTTGCAGCACAACAAATTCGCCATCGATAATAACAACAAGTCGCCCGGAGGCAGTGGCTCCAAAACATAAGGTGGAAATTCGGACAAGCTTCTCGACGCGATTGGAAGTGAGTAGATCAGATCGAAGGGATCGTTTCGGAATCGGGTTGTACGAAGTTAAATAATCACCACAACACGAATACAGGGAAAGGCGGAAGTCTGAGAACTTGGCTTCCTGGTTTTTCATTTGCCTTTTGACGCTTCCGCCAAAACACTTAACGCTCACTAAAACCGCTTCTTGACAAATCAATAAAGGCCAAGTGTCGGACCGGCCATTAACTTGGAGTCCCCGTATATGCACAATTAAAAATTGGTACCTTGTTATGATCAGTTTAATTAATTTATTTAGGACAGAATTGACCAATCAAAAAAATGTATTAAATTATATTCCATTAATACTCAAATCCAAAACAGTTATATTTTTGTACACAGATATTAAAATGAACAGCGAAAGGGTTTAAACAAACGTAGAATATATATTTCACATATCCAAATAGTTTAAAATTGTCAATTTATTCTGATTTTCTTAACAAAATAACAAGAATTTGTATTCTAAGAACTTCGATATACTAAAGAGATTATTCGTGTATTTTAAATCTTAACTGTCGAATTTTTACCGTTCGTTTTTTTCCTGTGTATATGTGCGTAAGCTAGACTCCAAGTACATGAACCCAAGGAATATTAATGTTTAAACTTTAAACACTTGTTACCTTGAGCGAAACGCGCCGTGTTGTATTATCATTGCCGCTGCTGTATTTGTTGTTTTTGGGTTGAGGGAGGTTCATTCAATCGGGCACACCAACACCAGTGTACTTGAAAACCCAAGTGTATGGTGTGGTGCGATTGTTTACCTCCTTTGTGTTTTATGCATATTCACTCGACACATGCATGAATTTCGTCGATTACGCCGCGCAAATTCATTTTAATTTTCGCAATTTTATTCAAAATATGGCAGCTTAACTTCTACGCGCAATTCGATGGACTAACTTTTGCGTGTGTGTGCGGCGCACGTACACCAACAAGGGCCAGAGTTGCCAATTAGACCTTTTGTTTGGAAGTGTTTTTGTTTTGCTGATAAAAAGCAGCTGATTTCTAAAAATAATTAAGTAAACAAGGCGTGAAAGGCAAAAAAAATTCCACTTATTGATAGCGCGATAAGATGTGCCAAAGCCAATAAAAGGAATTAGCTGATATTAAATTTTAAAATCCACAAGCTCATCAAGTAAACGAAAACCGTTAGCAAATGAAAATAGAGTGAAGAGAACATGTTAAGATATGGTCAGCTGATTTAACTAAAGAAACAAACTTACATAAAATTGTATTTAAACAAAAAAAAAAGAAAAAAAAGGTAGGTTTTAGTTTGTCCATCCAAGTGAATTTATACATCATACATAAATTTATGTTGAACTAACGTTTTAAAGTAAAGGAAAATAATTTGTATGTCTGGCAATATTGTGTAATCAGTTACTAACAGCTAAATTTCACTGTATATAATCGAAATTGTTAATTAAAATAAATCTACTTATAATAAAATTAAGCACTTGTCACGGCCAACAGATAGTTACGCCCATGAACCCACTAGTTTTGACCGATGACGATCATCGCCTTTGGCTTATTGCGTTTTTGCATAAATTCCCTCTTTTGACTTTCGTGTTTTTTCACACGTTTGACCGTTTTTCTGTGTGTTTTTAAGTGATAACGGCACTTCTATACGCCGTAAAATGCTTAAAGAGTGTTAGGTGTAATACGAGACTGATTTACCGTCATTCGGCATAAGTTTACTCTGACCTGAGTCGAAATAAGTATGCACATATACAAGTAGTGACACTTATTTTGGGGCTCTTTTCGCTCTTGCACTAAAAGCTGAGTCATTTTGTTTTCAAATTTTTGTGTGCCGCGGCCACAACGCAAAAAATAGACATCGCTCGCGCATAAACAAAAAAAAAGCGTTGCGCAAAAAGAAAAGAGAAAATGTTCGTTTATTTATATAAACAAATAGGTATTAGTGTAGGTAATATGCTTTACCTGTCTGAGTGTGATTTTTGTTTTGTTTATCTCGTGAGATTGACGGCAAACCGGTTTTTTAGAACGAAAACAACTGGTCGGCTTCTTGCCGGTTAAATACGATTATATGTTCAGGTACAGAAGAGCTTGACTAAGTCAATCCAAGCTCATTTGCTTATGAGTTTATGGCAATTGCTTATAACTTGTTGTACAAGACAAACCTACTGTAAACAGTTAAATCAAATTAAATGTTTGATTCACAGTACAATAACGGTTACATTTAAATTGCACTTTGAGTGGTTACTCTTAATGAAATTCAAATTTGCCGTCTGTTCTGAAAGCAGTTAATAAATCTGTAAAGCAATTATGTTTTTGTCATAGCTTGCTGCTTCTCTATTGGAAAAAATTAAAAAGTTCGCTAGAATAAATCCGAATGAACACTTTTTTTCAGCAAATATCATGTTGTTAAAAGTGCCATCTGTGGACTGGACGGACCAAATAATTTACGTGGTGGACGACGACGATTCGCTGTCAGACATCGACGATGAGCCAGATTTCTCCGAATACATGTGGATGGAGAACGAGGAGGAGTTTGACAAGAACGTAAGACTAAACCACCTTTATAAATATCGTAAGGTTTATTGACAACATACTTCGATTTAGGAACTCCAACGCCTGGAGGAGGAGGAGATCATGCAGGAGTGTTTTGAAGCAATGATCGAGGACGAGCTGGAAGAGCAGATCAACGAGTGGGAAAAGGCAAAGTGAGTTGTGTCATCTGACTCCGACTTATACATATGTAAAAACTAATCCATTGTCGCCCTTCGCAGAACGGACGAACAGAACACGGCACTTTCCGCACTGCCGAAAAGCGAATGTAATGTGGAAAAGTCTGTCCTGAATCCCATGGCCGATGAGTTTATTCCGCGTAGTCATATAATGGATTTTCCTGCCTCATAAAGCCTGCTCATTCTTTTCCTGCCACGGAATCACAAACCGCCCCGCCCCATAACACGTGGACCTCATACGCGAAAATCCTAAGATAAACTCAAGATCCTTTGCTAAGGCTCGACTAACAAAATCCGCTAATGAGATTGAGATTGACATCCTGACCAAGTTGAGCAGCGAGAGCATTCGGAGGAAGAAGCTCATGACTATCTACTTTCTAGATACAAGAATGCTGGAAAATAACGTTAAAGATTCGAACCAACTCCAAATGCTGGCGACCGAAATGCAAACGAATCATATTTTAAAAAACCAAAATAAAAAACACAATATCACTGCAGAAATATTAAAAAAATGTTCAAAAGAAGAAACCAACAAACAAAAAAAAAAACAACTACAAACTAAGAACAAACAAATAACAATTAACAACTATGCCACGTACATCACAGTACATTGTAATTAGAGTTAAACAAAAAATTGTTTGCCGAGGAATGCGGAGCCGGAGCCCCAGAAATTTCGAAACCAAAATGTAACCGAAAACGCAGACGCAGGCGCTTGCTGAAGCTAGTGAAAACTTTGGTATTAACGTACAAAACGAAAACAAATGACTTTTTACAAGCGACAAACTGAGTCGTGACTTCTATAAACCTAGAAGATAACAAACAAAACTAAAATTACACCTAAAATACGCCAATTTCCAGCTAAAGCAACTGTAAGCAACAAACAAGACTCGATTTGTGTTAGAAACAAAACAAGAAACGTGCAGAATTTGTAGCCGTCATGTCGTTTTATTGAAATTCTGTTCAAAGACTTTAATTGTAGTTTAAACTGTATTTAATTTAACGTCCCGCCCTCTGCCTACACTCGTTTTAAGTTGACCATTTTGTGGAATATACGTGTTTACTAGTTTTTTTTTTTGTATAATTTTGCACCATTGTTAACTCGTTGTACGTTCTACGCCCAAGTTACAAGAAGCGCTTGTTAACTTCCCTTCTGACTCTCGCAATACTTGTAATTTACAATTGTAACTTAGTGTACTAAAACGAATTGAGATACTAATGTTTAAAGCCTCTTTATACAAAAAGCATGCATAAAATACCTATGTATATTTAGCGTTAATGGAGAATACAACAGACAACAGACGATGCAATAACAAGTAGTCTGTAATTTTAAGTGGAAAAATATTTTGAAACGTTTGCCCTGAAGCAAATGCACAAGCCCCTAAATAATTTTCTGTTAACATCGTTAAATTTCGTTTCGGCATGTAGACAAAGATGAATTTCTATTTTTCAATCAGCTTAGATTTAGTGACTTAAGACAGCATTAAAAGATCTACTACATTACTTACGTTACGTGTGATATAAAGATACAAAAAAACCAAGCAAAAAAATATCAAAAATGATTTTAAAAATCTCAATAAAAAGAAGTATTATTATAGCATAAAAAGGTTGAGTTTTGATATAATTTTAATTAAGAGTAAGTCTGGGGGTAATATAAATAAATAAATAGAAAATTCTTGTTAATTATCAAATTTAATTAATCATTAATCGATTTAGCAAAGTCAACAGGTGAACCATCTTTGTTTATGTTTTGATGAGCCACAGCTGTTCAGATCAGCTGAAATCGCAAAAGCGAACCCGGAGCTTAACATTTTTCAAAAATCCCAACGGTTTTTTCAGGGATGGACTGCGTGGACAGAGGTTAGCACCGCAGCAACATCGGCTAACTACCGCATAAATTAGTCCGTCAAATTTTTAACGACGGACGAAAGGGGCTATAAGCTTGAAATGATCATATATTTTGTATCGAATATTTTACAAAAATATGTAGATAAAAATATAACTACATATCGCTATCGAGAAATATCGATATATATTTTTCACATCCCTATTCTTATGCAGATGCGGCCGCACATTAAAAACAGAATTTAATTTTGCAATTTGTCTTAATAAAGTGTATTAAATTGTTGTAAATTGTTGTGAAAATCTATAAAGGGCCTCTCCCAAGATGTTTACACCCAACGCGAACGCCCCCATTGGAGGCGCAACTGCAGCTCCTGGCGCCTTTGCTTTTGGCGCGCGACCGGCGACAACCACTGCTCCGCCTCCCTCCTTTGGAGCGGCCACCTCCACTACGTCCTTTGGTGGCGGCACCTTGTTTGCGGCTCCTGTGGCCGCGCCTGCTTTTGGAGCGCCAGCTGCCGCGCCTGCTTTTGGAGCGCCAGCTGCCGCGCCCGCCTTTGGAGGAACCGCAGGTGCAGCGCCTGCTTTTGGAACAGCTGCCTCCGCTGCGCCAGCTTTTGGAGCAGCTCCTTCTGCTACGCCTGCTTTTGGAGCACCGGCTGCCACTCCAGCCTTTGGCGCACCAGCTTCCTCGCAAGCGCCGGCCTTTGGAGCACCTGCGGCCGCCGTGGGCACTGTGGCCCCCACGTTCTCCTTTGGCACTCCAGCCACTAGTGCTCCGACCACAGCGCCGCCCGCTTTTGGATTTGGAGCCACAGCCACGACTGCTGCAGCTGCGATGCCAGCATCTCTGGGCTCCGGCATTGGATCCTTCGCCTTTGCCAAGCCCCAGGCCACAACGGCGGCCAGTTTGAACTTCAGTACCACCACGACGACGGCTACGGCGCAGCCCTTCAATACGGGTCTTAAACTGGGAACCACCAACACGGTGACGGCCCTCGGAGGAGGCGGAATCTTTGGCAAGCCAGCGGGGCAGGGAGCCGCCCCGCCAGCCTCGACTTTTGTGGGTCTGGGCGGGATTGATGTGAGTGCCACGCAGCCCAAGTTGGGCGATAACAAGCAGGATGGTATTAAGGTGAGTTCACGGCAATTGCATTCTAGAGTCGAATAAAAAGGTATCTGTTCCCTCCAGATCAAGGAGACCCAAGTGCCCGACGAGATAGTCAAAACAGTGGATGCCTTGAAAGCGTACATCAAGCAGCAAAAGACCATATCCTCGGACATTGGCAGGACTTCCACGTCCAAGTTCACCAATGTGAGCCACGAGATCGCCAACTTGAAGTGGGCACTGCAGAACATGGCCAACTCAGTGGAGGGCAACAACCAGCAGATTCGGCTGATGCGCCAGGAGACGGCCAAGGCGATTCAGTCGCTGGAGATGGCCCAGCGAACACAGGACACGCCCGCTGGTCTGCAGTTCGAGCACAGTGCTCCCTTTCAGTACTTCCAGTGCCTGGTGGCCAAGTACGAGCAGGATTTGATTGCCTTTCGCCAGCAGATTGCCCTGACCGAACGCCACATGCACGCGCTGTCCAATCCGCAGAGTATTTCGCCGGAGGATCTTAAACGTGGCTTCCGCCAGCTGAACGAAAGCTTCATCTCGCTGGCAGGCCGACTGCACGAGTTGCACCAGCGGGTGGAGGAGCAGAAGGAGCACTATCTGAACCTAAGGCGCTATCGCCTGCGGGACGCCACCAACGTTTTCGAGCGGATCGACAATCCTCCGCTGCCTTCGGTGGAGCCCCAGAGGATAAGCAGCGGTCCAACGCCCTTCTCCAACATCTCGGCTTTTATGAACAAGTCCTATGCGGCGGCGGCCAGTTCCGCCAGCAATGCGGCAGCCAAGTGAGATGGAATCATTATCAAGCTTGAATAAATCATTATTTACAGGACAGTACAGACATTCGGTTTTAGTTTTAGCATAGAATATATATTTCATCTGCAACAATCTTCACTTCTTTACCACCTGGATGACGTCCTCGTCGGCCATCACGTGGGCGATTCCGACGCGCTGCGGCGAGTATTTCGTGGAGGTGCCCCAAACCAGTGCGTACTTGAACTGGGCCGCCAACGTGCGATGGATGGCGTGGCACACGTGCTCCACACTGACGCCCTGAGAGAAAAAGGAAGTCATATATTAGATGGGTTTTTGCAGGATATCGGGCTAGTTTCGGGAACCGAATATCGAAATACTCTTCAAAAGATTTGTTTAAGTGAAATGTTAGAATTGGAATTTTGGAATGAGCACTAGCGTATGAGCAAAAATGCAATTATCTTGCTTATCTCAGAATTGGACATTTCTTAAGACGAATTTTAAGGGTCTCTGGGGTTTGATTTAAATTGTAACGACTTGTTTCAAGGTAACATTGAAAATTGTGCAAACTGCCAAGTTGGTTTTCTTGCCTTTCTCAGAATCAGGCCGTCGTCAAAGTCCGGCGGAGCACCCGGTTTCTTTGTGTAGACCCTGATCAGCTGCAGCGCCTCCCAGAGCGCCTCCAGCATATAGTCCAGATTGAGTTTCATGTTGCAGCTGACCACAATCGAGTTCGGCTGGCGCGCCAGGCGGTCCACCTCCTCGATGGAGATCTGATCGATCTTGTTGTAGACGTACAGACAGGGCAGATACACTCGGTTGGCGGTGACCACGTCGATGAACTCGTCCTCGGTGCAGTCCTCGCGGAACAGCACTTCGGCGTTGAAGATCTTGAAGGAGTGCAGGATGGTCTGGACCATTTTCTCGTTGCAACGAGTCAGCGCACAGGTGGCATTGAAGCTCAGGCCGCCGCCCTTCTTCTGCTTGAAGTAGATGTTGGGCTTGCGCTTGTTCAGCCTGATGCCCACGCACTCCAGTTCCCGCTCGAGCAGCTCCCGATGGACATTTGGCTTGGTGGCATCGAGCATCATCAGTACCAGGTCGGCGGTACGGGCCACGGCGATGACCTGGCGACCACGCCCCTTGCCCTGGGCGGCGCCCTCGATGATTCCGGGCAGATCCAGCAGTTGAATGTTGGCACCCTGATACTCGATGACGCCCGGAATGCAGGTTAAAGTGGTGAACTCATAGTTTGCTGCCAGGATGAAGGTATGGACATTGGGTTAGGGATTATAGCGGGAGGCTTAACTCATCCACTCATCCACTCACCCGCCTCCGATTCCGTTTTGGTCAGGGTGGACAACATGGTGGACTTGCCCACGGAGGGAAAGCCGATGAGAGCCACCCGCGCATCTCCGCTCTTGAGCACATCGAATCCGTCGCCCTTTTCGCCCTTTTTGGATGGTTCCAGCAGCTGGGTGCGGTACTTGGCCAACTTTGCCTTCAGCAGGCCCAAATGGTACTCGGTGGCTGGGGAAATGGTTAAAAACACACCGAATTAGACGGTAGTCGGCAAATCCTAACCTAAATTCCGATGGCCAGCGCGGCGATTCTCGGTGTCAAGTTATTTTCTGATATGTTCGCAAACCTTTGTTCTTCTGTGTACGCGCGATCTCGCGCTCAATCTCCGCAATCTTCTCAAGGATGCCCATGCTGTTGGATTGTGTGATTTAAGGGCCGGACATGCAAAAATTAAAATAAAACAAAAGTTAGCTTTTATTTATTGACCCGCTGCGCGTCGCCCGGGTGTCTGCAGCCCTGATCAGCTGTTTCTGCAGTCAAGATAGCGGGACGACGTAGCCCAGGGAACGCTGAATCGGATCACTGGGCTTTCTTTCTGTTCCAATTGGAAAATTAAAGAAGATGTTTTCAAACTTTACAAGACAAATATTTAATGACAACACATCATTTTAATATTATATTAAACTGACTTACCTGGCTTAGCCTTACATATGTGCCTCCGAACTTATATAAACTAATTCATATTTTTTAAGTCAGTAGTTTCCTCAGAGAAGTCATTATTTAAGACACCGCTATGCAAAATTAGCACAATTGTTTTGTAAATGCACAAGCTTAAATCAAATTCATTTTTTTTTTTTTTTGATGGCTGAGTTAAGTTAAACTGCCTTGAGGCAGTTTTGAGAACCCCTGATTAAAAAAAATAGGTTTCTGTATCCCATCTAGTTTGATATAAAAGAATAAACAATAAACAATAATAGAATATTTTTAATATAAACAATATATTTTCTTCGCGCTGCAGGTGTATATAAGCTTCAGCTTACCGAAATAGGCTTTCTTTAAAGTTTTGTATCAACATTAAGTTCTCAGATCTTGAAAACTAGGAAAGATGTGGAGTATTGGCATAGATCAAGTTGCATACATATCAAAATGATAAATAACGAGATAACGTAATGCTGTTTTGTAATTTAAATATATCTTAAAATTAATAATTGTTGCTTTCTTAACTCTTATTTTTGAGAAGGGAGCATATGACTCTGGTCAGCATTATCTGCTGCTATCGACGATTTTTGGCCATGACAAATGTCATCGCAATGCATTGATATGGGTGATTAATCACAATCTCAGTTATTCATTCTTCTACTGTGATAAATTGTTTTTCGTACTACTTAACTTTCATATATATATATATATGTTTAAATATTTTTCAAACAAAAAAGTATGAACATTTTTGGATCTACAGTTCAAGTAAGAAAAAATGTATTGTTATGTATTTCTTTACATCGATTTGACTTAATTATTGAATGTGTTTATAATCGACACTTTCCAACTAATTTAAATTAACTTTTATTAATGTAAACAAGATATAAATGCAATAAAAATACCGTAATACTATTGTATCTGGCTCTATTACCATTGACCAGAATTAAACGTGTGAAAATACTGCAGGTCTATATATACATATGTAAATACAAACTGCAGGGGCTCACCAAATAAATAGCGAATTTTTTACACAATAATATTTGCATAAGAAAAATTACTGACTAATATTAATAGCCGACTTCTTGTCAGCTGATTATTCAGAAATTTAAATGTTTTTGTGCTTTGATTTTTACAAAATTCCATGCATTCAACCCACTCATGCTCAAAGGCTAATGCTCATGCTAAGAAACAGTATTATATCAAGCGTTGACTGGAGAACATGTTTTTAAAAACAAAAGCGTTTATTTTGATCCCGAAGCTGGCTTTTCTGCTGGTACTTTTAGCTGAATCTATTGAAAGTGTGTAAGAATTGTTTACTTAATCGTGCGCAATCATTGTGTTTTTTTGGCATACTTCAAAAAATGTGATTTACAAAGCTAACAATATAGAAACCAAACGTCGGCAAGTTGAAGTTTACGAGAGATATTTTATTGCGTAAGGGAGTTTTGGACAGTTTAGTTCAGATAGTTTTAGAACTGAAAGACTAGTTCGTTTTTGCTTGTCATCAGAGGGAAAAAAATGTTATACAGAGTACCAAAAAATATTATTAAAAAAAAACTTCATTGTTTTTAAACATGTACAAATTTACTTGGGGATGATGCCATTGACTATATTTTTACACAAAAAAAAAACGTATTATACAGCAATACCTATATAAAACGATAATAAAAAAGCTTTTAGATCTATAAGCATTGCGAAAAGTTTGGCTTATGTTTTGTAATAAAATCCCATCAATATAATTTTCAGATTGTCAACCGGACGAGCAATGTGTCCAGCTGGTTCGTTGCCACCATTTGGTAAAGATTGTCCAGCTCAAGGACAAAACCTCGGTCCAAAAGAAAATGCTTGAGCAAAGAAAGTGTGGACAACACAAATCCTCATTTTACTGCTGTCCCGAACCGGGAAATAAGCTACCAAATAATAGGATCTGCGGTCAAAGTCCACCCGTTTACCGAATTACGCGTGGAAAGGAGGTGGAGCTTAATTCGCTGCCATGGATGGTTATGCTTTTATATCGAAACACCAAAACTTGGTATGCGCCGCTGGTTCCCGCTTGTGGGGGCTCCTTGATCAACAACCGCTACGTCCTGACCGCAGTCCACTGTCTGATAAAAGGAGCGAGAATGCCGGCGGACTTAGAATTCAAAAGGGTGCGCCTGGGCGAGCATAACACCACCTCCGATATCGACTGCGAGGATCGGGGCAACGGCCTAAAGAAGCACTGTGCTCCCCGTCCGCTGGAAATCGACGTGGAGAAGTATATTTTGCATCCGGGCTACAACGAAAGCGATGTATTTCATTCCGACATCGCCCTGCTGAGACTGGAAATACCAGTACGGTGAGTAATGGTCTCCTGACCCAACGAAAAGCTTTCCATCCTGATCGAAATTTCTCTGCAACGTTAGCTTCACGCCAGAAATCAGACCAATTTGTCTGCCGTTCCGCCGCTTTTCCCTTAGGAAATCCAAATTAAAAGTAGCCGGCTGGGGTCAAACGGAAACCGGAAAAGCCAGTCCCGTGTTGCTACAAACCACCGTTGTTAAACAAAATGCAAATGTTTGCAAAAAGCCATATTCCCACTTGCAATTTACATCTTCGATACAAATATGTGCTGGGTCACGGTATGGATATGACACCTGTAATGGTGATTCCGGCGGACCACTGATGGCCACCCATGGTCGGGGCTTCGATGAATTCGAAGTTGTTGTCGGAATCACCTCTTATGGAGGTCAACAATGCGGAACGAAAGAATTTCCTTCGGTATTCACGAAAGTTAAAGCATTTACAGAATGGATCAAGAGTAATCTGGAGGCTTAGAAGCTTAGAAATATAACTTGGTTAATAATTAAATCATACATCCTCGAATTACAAAGACACTTGTAAGTTATTTAAAACGTTATTTTTCGGAAAAGTCAAGACAGAAACGGTTGTATCAGCTACATATATAAATTTATATATAACAATTAAATGTAATTCTTTTTAAAATGTATATATAAATGTTTGTATTTCCCTCAAATATTTATTTCAGTTTTGGGATAAAGCACCGATTTTTGTTCTCAACTCATAAGCTCTGCTGAAAGGCGGTTATGAAAGCGATAATAATTTATCGTCAGGGGTTTGGTGGTATTAAAAAAATCAGTCTTTTTGCAAACGTTGACTGCTCAACATGTTCGTTAAATTGTGTATCTTGCTTGTGATCCATGCTTTTCTTGCGGCTCGTTCAGCGGAGTCTGGTAATTAATTAATTAATTAATGATATATTTGCATTTGATTCATTTTCTTGAGACTTGAATAAATGTAATTTAAACGTGGGGTGCTTACAGATATATACTTTAGATTTGATTTTGTTCATTTAAGTTATAGAAAACACGCTGAGTCACGCTGGTCTTGATACCCTCTTATTTAACTCCATAGCCAAATTTTTCTTAAGAAACTCCTTTTTCACATGCATTTGTTTTGTATAAGTCGGCACTTAAAATTTCCTGATGCGTTTTTTAGACTGTCAACCCGATGAGAGAAGCACAAGTTTGGAATTCTGCCCGCACTTGTACAATACTCGCATGTTCGCGGACAGAGGACAGGCGGCATACAACATCGACAAAGGGAGGATTTGCTGCCCAATGCCGGGAAACGAGCTGCCGAATACAGAGATTTGCGGACAAAGTGAAGCCGTGGTGCGAATCATGGGTGGCAGTGAGGCGACTCCCAACGGCTATCCTTGGATGGCTATGCTTCTATACCAGAATCTATCGTCCTGGGAAATAAATTCGTTTTGCGCGGGCTCCCTGATCAACAATCGCTATGTTCTGACCGCAGCCCACTGTGTGTACAACATGCCAAGCGAATTGATCCTCAAGAGCGTCCGACTGGGCGAGCATGACACTACCAGCAATCCCGATTGCACATTCCACGGAGCACGGAGGTTCTGTGCTTCCCCCCATGAGGAAGTCGAAGTGGAGAACATTGTTGTGCACGAGAAATATCACATGGGCGGCACGAGAATAAACCAAAACGACATCGCTCTGCTGCGCCTCCGGATGCCAGTGCGGTGAGTAACCATTTTCCCAACACAATGATAAGACTTAGGTTTATCCAATTACTCCAGCTATTCGCGGGGAATAAGACCGATTTGTGTTCGGGGACCCCATAACTTCCGGACCAACTATGGCTTTCGAATAGCCGGCTGGGGAAAGACGGAAACTGGAAGACACAGTCCAGTATTGTTAAGCGGCATCATTGGGAAAAGGCACTTGGATAGGTGCTCAGAGAAGTCTCCAGATCTAAATTTCGATATATATTCCCAAATATGTGCCGGCGGCCTGGATGGGAATGACACCTGTGTGGGCGACTCTGGCAGTCCACTGATGGCCACCATGGGACAGGGCCTCAACGAATATGTATATCTGGCCGGCATCACATCAAATGGACCACCAATTTGCGGAATGATTGGTTGGCCAGCCGTTTACACAAAAACTTCGGCGTTTATCGAATGGATACAGAACAATATTAGGCCTTGAAAGCTCAAAAAAACAAAAATTTCATTTTATCTGCTTAAAGAGTTTGCTTGATTTTACAGAGATAAAACAATGGAATATTATAAAAATGTAATATTTAAATCATAATTTTAAATACAATGCATATTAAATTCCACGATTTAATATTAGGTACTTTAATTAATGATGGAAACATTACATTTATAGTAATTCCATTTGGTTTAAATACATTTTTTATAATCTAAATATGGTTTAAATTTAAATTACATTTGCAGATACTAAATTCAATTTCAAAAATAGTTAAAAGAAAAACTTTTAAAGATTTTTTCAAAATATTTGGATTTACTACGTTTTTTTCTTACCAGTGTACAAAACGGTATTTTTTTGCAGAATTAAACACAACTTAAAAGTTTTCCAACGAACTATAAGTTTGATTTTAAGCCTTTTAACGCTACGATTTCTCGCCACTAGTTCTTTAGAATTAAAACCCAGCAGCGTTTTAAATTGGATTAGTTTTATTTGTCAAAAGAACTCGTAAAATATACACAAATACACGCAGGTCAATACTGTTACGATTACAAGAAACCCCACAACACGCAAATGACGATAAATTACAATAGTGACTGTTGACAGAGACATCGAGAGAAAGAGATTGGCCGGGGCGGGAAGTTCCAGCGACGGTGGCCAAAAGGACCCAATCCTGCACTGCGACTTCCTCCGCCGCCAGCGGCGATTAGCGATTAGCGATTAGTGGTTGGCATAGAAGCCATGACCCGAGTTCCCCATGAACTCCGTCCAGCGCTGCGAGTCCACGGGATCCAGCTCCGAGCAGACCTCACCAGGCCGCAGGGAGCGGCAGGTGCACGTGATCCCGATGCGGGTCACCACCAGCTGCGACTCGAACTTGGGCAGGGCGGGCTCCGCGTCCACCAGGCGCTCGCTGAGGCACTGCTTCAGGAACTGTTTGCGCAACACGCGCAGGTTGTCAATGGTGTAGCCTGCAAATGGAAAACATTTGGTTATTACAGTGAGTTAAGGAAAATTGAACGAGTAAACAAATTTTATACATGAAAAAAATTAAATATTAAATTATTGTTGTGAAATTGCCAATACTAACTTAATAAATTTGTTTATCAAAAAGTGAAATTAATTACAGTATGGATTTAAAGTAAGAATCATTCTTTTTTTCTAATTAAAAAACATTACATTTAAAAAAAACCAAATAAAAATGTAAGAATCATCCTTATTTTCTAATTAAAAAACATTACGTTAGAAAACAACCAAATAAAAAAGTAAGAATCATCATTATTTTCTAATTACAAAACATTACATTAGAAAACAAGAAAGAAAGCAAACTTCGGCAAGCCGAAGTTCATATACCCTTGCAGCTATTGCAAGAATTAAACATTTTTGAAAACATTAAAATTATAATTTACTTGCGTATAAGTTTAAAAACATTGAAGCTATGATGATTTGCAGCTCAATTATTTGATAGTTATTTTATATATTTTTATTGTTCCTATGGGAGCTATATGATATAGTCGTCCGACTTTGATGAAACTTAAACCGTAAATTGGAAATATTTAACCATTACTAAATGTCGAAGAACTAAACAAAAAATTAAAAAACAGAAAAGTTATAATTTTTTTCATTTATTTCTCCGATTGTTCCTATGGGAGCTATATGATATAGTCGTCCGACTTTGATGAAATTTAAACCGTAAATCGAAAATATTTAACCATTACTAAATGTCGAAGAATTAAACAAAAAATTAAAAAACAGAAAAGTTATAATTTTTTTTCATTTATTTTTCCGATTGTTCCTATGGGGGCTATATGCTATAGTCGTCCGATTTTGATGAAATTTTTACCATAATTCTGAAATATTTAACCATTGCTTTATGTCGAAGAACAAAACAAAAAATTAAAAAACAGCAAAGTTATAATTTTTTTTCAATTATTTTTCCGATTGTTCCTATGGGGGCTATATGCTATAGTCGTCCGATTTTGATGAAATTTAAACCATAATTCTGAAATATATAACTATTGCTATATGTCGAAGAACTAAACAAAAAATTAAAAAACAGCAAAGTTATAATTTTTTTTCATTTATTTTTCCGATTGTTCCTATGGGAGCTATATGCTATAGTCGTCCGATCCGGCTCGTTCCGACTTATATACTACCTGCAATAGAAAGACAACTTTTGGGAAAGTTTCATGCAGATAGCTTTAAAACTGAGAGACTAGTTTGCATATAAACGGACGGACAGACGGACAGACGGACGGACAGACGGACGGACAGACGGACAGACGGACATGGCTAGATCGACTCGCCTAGTGATGCTGATCAAGAATATATATACTTTATAGGGTCGGAGATGTCTCCTTCACTGCGTTGCAAACTTCTGACTGAAATTATAATACCCTCTGCAAGGGTATAAAAACCAAATAAAAATGCATCTTAAAGCAATGTGCCAAACAAATACCAGTTTTCGAAGTTATAAAGTTATTAATTTAAAATTAAAAAAAAAAAAATTGCCATCTAACATTAGATAGGCCATAAATCAAACCCCGATCTATAAATATATATTTTTTCATTTCATTTTCTTTTTAACAAATTACCTTTTACCCATGAATATCAATTTTAAATCTAGTTCTTATGGATGTGAGCCATGATTATCTTATCATATAAACTATACTTTTAATATAACTTTAAATAGTTAAATTATTCAAGTTACTCACTCTTATAGGCGCTGATCTTCTCCTCGACGCAGCTGAGATCCTGGGGCGAGAAGAGTGGTGGATAGGCCTCCGATTCGCGGATGTTGAGAACGAAGGCGAAATCCAGCGAGGAGCTGGCGTTTCCCAGCGCCTTGAGCAGGACACCGGTGGACGAGATGGAAGCCAAGTACCAGTCTGCGCCAGCGGATTCCTCTGCCCCAGCGGAATCCTCGCCAGCGGCAGTCGTGGTTCCGGAAGCACTTTCGCGTCTTTTGCGACGCCTCCTCTGCTTTTTGTTGGCATCCTGGGCCTGGGCATCGGCAGCTTGTTCCCGCGCCTCGTTGTCCAGCTCCAGATCCCACAGGCTCAGCGGTGACTGCGCGGACATCGGCTGTCCGGTGGTGCTGGGCGTCCTTTGGGTGGTGGTGGTGGTGCTGGTGCTGGTGGTGGTGGCGGCCTCGATGAACCCGCTGCGCACATCCCGACTGCCGGCACTGGGGTACTTGGACCGCAGGTGGATGGGCCGGTCACTCTGCTCCAGAAGCGGAGGCACTTCGTCGTTGTACACCAACTCGTACTCCTCCGGCAGGCGCAGCGGATTCGCATTCTCCGGCGACAGCGGCAGGTTGTCATAGTCCTTCTGCGGAGAGAAGCGAGTCTTTAGTGGATAGCATAGTATTGGAAAAAAGCCTTAGAAACTATAGAAAAATAAAAAATATAGTCAGGCAGAAAATAAATGAATAGATTTACACGTTAAAATTATTTTAAATTCGAAAAAGGCTTTAAGAAAATATTTAAAAATTGTACAACTAGGAATTCTAAATCTCATTTTCATTCACTTTGACTTAAATTCATTTTTTTTATAAATTGGCATTTTGACGTACAAACTTAGTTTATAATATTTTGTTAATGTCTTCCCTGTCAGGGTTAGCCATTTTTTCGTTCTATATATTTTACTTTTGGTTTATCGAACTAATAAAGCGGTTTTAATATAAAAAGTAAGCCACTTACAAACTCCTTGAAGGCCTCCTTGGGGTAACCACCACCCATTCCGAAGCCGGGCAGTTCGTTCTCTGCTCCCTGGGGCAGCAGCTCCTGCAGTTGCTGCTCCATCAGCGGATTGTGTCGGTGGTGGGGTTTTGGACGCCTGCCCGGCTTCTCTGTGCCGCTACTGGTAGCGGTACCAATCCCAGTACCCATCCCCGCTACGGCGGCCACCTGGCGCAGCAGTTGCTCACGATTCCCGGCCAGCAGTTTCTTGAGCAGCTTGGGATGCTTCAGGGGGGATTTCTTGCCGGCGGCCGCCGGTCGTTGTGTGCGATTCAGCTGGACCTCCAGGTCATCGGTGCTGAATAGCACCGCTCCCGGCGGCTCTATGTGCCTGGCAATCCCGTAGAGCTTGAGCACCGTGGACTCGTTGTAGCGCAGACGACAAGTATCCGCCCTGGCCTGGAGTATGATGTCGCTGTCGGGCACGAATTCGTAGGCATCCCGGGCATCTGGACGATTGCGGCACTGCAGCTGCCAGTGCAGGAAGAAGTCGCCGCCGAAGCTCTGCGAGATGGAGACGCCGCCGAGCAGGCTATTCGCCCCACCCGCATCCGTCATCATGGCGTTCAGCAGGGGCTGTCCGGTTCTGCCACTCAGGATGGTGGTCTGCGAGTAGTAGTACACCGGGAAGCCCGGTCCCGTGTTGTACTTCACCATGAAGTCCGTGACATTGTCGTGGTCGAAGAGCCCGGGCACAATGGCACTGACGCACTCGCTGGCCGGGAAGGTGTAGTTCCACACCATCGAGTAGTTGGCTCCGTCGAAGGCGAGGACGCTCCGGTTGAAGGCGGCCACCACCACATCCGAGATGCCATCGCCATTGAGGTCGGTGAGTACGGCTGGCACCATGATCCCCGATCCCTGCTGTCGGTGGAGCGGCGTGAAGTGCTTCTCGCTGGTGTGCGCCATCAGAGAGTGCAGTCGCAGGGAGTAAACGCCACCCGGTGTGTTCTGACCCCCGGTGACGATGAGCAGGAGCTCCGTTCCATCCGCTTGCGTGAGCAGCTGGATCGGCACGAACATCTCCTCGCGGTACGGCGTCGGAATACTCCGGATCACCTTGCCCGTCTTCCCCGAGATCAGCTTTATGTGCCCCGCCTTGGACTCCTCGCGCTCCTCCAGATGGGCGGCTATTATCTCCGGCACCGAATCTCCGTCCAGATCGCGGAGCACATTGATCGTGTACAGGTCCATCACGATGGGTGAGTTAGTCTCCACTTCTAGTTCCCGGAAGCGCCAGATTACGGAGCCAGTGCGGCCATTTATGGCGTAGATCATCTGTAAGTAAGAAAAACAATTAGGGATTATAATTGTGCCACCTACGTTTTGGATTGTTGTATAATTCTTTTGAGTTATCTAAAACTAAACAATCTAGGACTTGGCAAGCAGATTCTAGTCATGTGCTAGACGCCAGTAATTGGGAGGTATTTGTTTTTTCACACATTAACAATTTCTCAAAACAAACAATTATTTTAGAGCTTATTTACACTCATTTGTCGTAATCAAATATAACTAGTGACGTCAATGATAAGCTTTCGTTCCCGTTTCACAACAGATGTCGCTTTCGACTAGTTACGAATTTCAATTAGAATTGCTGGCGCCATCTGTTTTTAATTGCTTGTTTTGAATAACAGAGTATGTAATTCTAGAGATCCAACTTACCCCCAGTCTGCCAGCGGCCACACAGTCTGTTCCTCCATCACCGTCCACATCCGCGCTGCAGTGCAGCGAGAAGACATTGGCCACGCTCCACGACTGCCACAGGATGGATCCATCAATGCCGTTGAGGGCCACCACTCCGCCCTCGCAGGGCACCTCCTCGCCCTGTTGGGCGGACTGGCAGCGCGGCAGGGGAATGCCCTCGTAGTGGATGTTGTCGTCGACGCCATAACCGAAGACCACGTCCTGGATGCCGTCGCCATTGAGATCGGCCGCTCGAACGGGACTCTCGCTGTTCATCCGGGCCAAGCTGCGGCTCCAGCGCTTCTGGACGCTGATTTGGGTGCAGGGCACGAACTCGCTGCCCAGGGAGCTGCCGTAGGCAATGCGCGAGGAGCCGCCAGCGGAGAGGCCCACCAGCTGAGCGGGATCGGGGCGCCACCAGTGGCGGATGCGCTGCAGGGGCAGCGGGAAGAGCGTCAGCATGAGGGCCGCCAGGCTGAGCAGGGCGCAAAGGACCGTCAGGGCGGCCAGGGCGTAGCAGAAGGGCTCGCAGCAGCGGCAGCAGCGCCTCCTCCTGTGCTGCTTCATAATGGGAGCCGACCCCGATCCCGATCCGGCGCCGGCCCCAGGACTGTGCTTGCGACGCGGCGCCATCAGGGGCCGCTTCAGACCCTGCTCCTCGCTGCGCTGTGGGTGAAAAGTGGAAAAGGGTTAGTCCGTTTCAGGAGACAATCAACTAGGATCAACTACAATGCCTTTATAAATTCGAACGGGTTTGCTCTTTACATAAATATTTTTTTTTTAAAAGATAACAATACCGAAGTTGGCATATGGCAGCCAATATTTTATCCAGCTTTGAGCAGAATTTAAAACAAGAACTCTTTTTCACCGAAAAAAACATTTTGAATTGAAAAAAACTTTATAGAGTCAACGTAATTGAACACAAAATTTCTTTATCTGTACACATGAATGTTGGGACGAAGTCCATCCACTTTTTGATTATCCCTTCTAACGAATAATTTTATTTCACTTTCAGATCGAACATCTCTTTTTGATTTTCGATGTACGGATACTTACCTTCGCTGACCTGGCATCTTTGATGAACACCTCGTCCTCGACATCGTCGCTGGCATCCTCATCGATGGAGGAGTCCCGTATGGCAATTCGCTTGGAGGGCACATATGGTCGCAGTTTGATCATCTTTCGGTTCGATTCCGCTGGTGCGGATGCACCACCAAGCTGCGCCTGCAAGAAAGCCTCTGTTTTAGCCGCTCGAAGGATGCGCTGCGGATCCTTTAGCGCATTCTGTGGCTCCTGTTCTTCCGTGCAACTCCAATTGCAGCGATGCGCGTCCGGCGATTGTGTAAAAATCAATAGCGACGTCACGGCTTCGCGCTCAGCTGTCTGCGATTGCGGAGCATGCGCCCTGGTGGCTCGCCACTGCCACCACCAGAACCACCACCCACTGGGGCAAAGGCCACGTGTTGGCCAGCGGCTACAGGTTTGTTTGTCAACAATGTGGCAGCCCACCTGGCTCTCTCACTCTCTCTCTATCCTTGGCTCTCTCCTGCGGCATTTGTTGCTGGATGGACCCACCACCCCATAGCCACCCACCACCTCAAAGCCACCCACGCATCCACCCCCATTCCAAAACTCCCTGATTAGCTCCTCCCTAGCGGTTCAATGTCCTCGCTTTGAGGCTTTTCATGAATGAAGTGGGTGGAGTTGAAATATGTGGATGGTGGGTGGTGGGTGGCGCAGCGGGAGTTCCATTCACCAAACTTCCGCATACTGCCAATGTGGGTCAAATCTTATGTGCCACTGTGTGTGGTTTCTCCGCTCGCCCAAGCTAGCGATTAATGTTTAATGGGAATTTGTCTGCCTTTCATTGGCAGGAAGTGAATTGAAAATGATAATTCAGGCATATATATCACCGTTCGATTATCGCTAATTTTGTGGTGGTAGATCGAAACTCTATAAGTGCAACACATTTTTAATGAGGGCTTTAATTACAAAACTAATGAATGACAAACTACACTACACTACAATTTAAAGACCTTAACAATATCTGGTATTACTTTTGAAACAAATTAGCTAATCTAAGGATAAAACTACGTAATGGATAATACGTATTAATGGATAAACTTCTTAAAAACTAATAAATATCTTATTTATTTTAGCTTTTTGGATATAGAGTTTGGTAATCACTTCTTCAGTTTTATAATCGCGAAGTTTTTAAATCAAGCGTACTGTGTTACCATTAAAACTAATAATGTCAATCAGTTAAATTACCTCTATAACGACAATAGAATTATCTCCGAGTTCCGTTGGTAGACCAACATTGCGATTGATTTTGGCCAATACAATCCAACTGACGCTCATCTAGAATGGTTGCCTCTTTGTTCCTGCAAAAAAAGTAAATTAAGGTAATTCCCGGACCAGGCTTAATTACTTTTTAACCTTGGCTCTTTTGACGTCACAGCTTTTCCTTGCCTTGCGAAATCCATTCGACTAAACAAGATTCCGTTTCTGTATCTATTTATCTCATAATTTATTTTACAAAATTTTCTATGACGTAGAGGCGCTTGTCAAAAGCCAAACACACAAGTGAAAAGTTGCCTAGTTTTTCCCCCCAACCGAAGTATTCAAATCGCAAGTGCGCCAAAACCTTTTGCGAATCTGCCATAGCCACCGCCCTGGTGCTGCCCTCAGCATAAACTTAAGAGCACCACTTAGAGGGGCTGGGATGGGGGCTCTGGCGGGGAACGGGAGCACTCAGTGCGGGTCCAAGCTCGACTGCATTCGAATAAACTATAGAAAAATCAGCGGCTTTTTATAGCTGCCCCATCAATAGAGAGAAGAGGCAGAAGACGAGCACGAGGTGTGGTGGTGGCTTAAGTATGCTATTATCGCATCTGAGATAATTTAATAACTACGAGTCTTCTTCTTCGGTCGGAGGCCAGAAAGGATGTGTTGAATCCGCTCGAGAGTGTTACGGCAAGGCGTTGAATAGTGCTTGCTGGTCTGGGTGGGGGACACCCACAAAACCACATGTATAATGGTGGCCCCGAATGTGTGACAAGCGCCTCAAGGTCGCCAGGAATTCAATGAAGAAAGCTATTTGTTTATTACTTATGATTCTTATGCGTACCAACTCAAACGTATAAAATTAAAAATCTGCTAAAAGTAAATCAACTATATAAATTTGTTTTTCAAAATGGATTCATTAAATTAATGTTATAAAATGCTTTTATTTTTTCCATAAAAAAGGCAATGAGAAATTAAGATGTATTTGTAAAATATATACCTTATAAGCTTTGTCACATGAGGGAACATACATTTTTTAGCTCTTTCAACAAAATGACTTAATAAGGTAACTAAATAATCGGAAATTTGTTTTTTTTTTATACTTTTAAACTTTTTTTTCCAGACTCTTACAAAAGATGAGTTTTTTTTAGTTATGGAGATTTTTGATCAAAAAACAATGAGTACAAAGTTTTCATTCTTTTTTCTACACATATATACAAAATGTTCAATTAATTTAATTTAAAAGGTATTGAATGTAATAATAATACTATAAATTGATTTTTACAAACAAGTTTAATTTACCTATGTTTATAATTTTGTTCCTTAAAGGACTTATACGTTTGCAGCAAAGCTCTCATTATGGGTTCCTCCATTAAACCCTACCTCTAAATTTTCGATTTCCCTGCCTATTTATTCCTTTTGTCATTTCATTAAACTTGATTTTCACAGCAGTTCTCCTCTGGCTTTTATTTCCAATTCTTTGTTGTTCAACTTGTGCACTCCGTGTGACGTCAGCAGGGAGATCATCGGATTACCGTGGCGCTGCATTCATTAGCCAGGGTCTCCAAGTGTTGCATCCCCTCGTGGATGCCACTGGCCCCAACTTTTGATGCGACAAATGCCACTTCTGGGGCCACTTGGCAACTTGCGGAGAACTTGTTAAGGAAGGACTAACAAGAAAATTGATTGAAAAGTGCTCAGAAGTAAAGAGTCCAAGTGTAGACAAATAAAATCAGGAAACTACTGCAACATATTCAAGATTTTTTACCCTCGAATTAAACACATCGAATCGATACACGTATGTCGCATCCTGCCACGATGAGAATTGAAGGTCCTGCCCTCCACATCCTGCAGTGCATCATTATGTTCTGGGCAAGAAGGGTAAGATGACAACAATGTCGATGACGACAGAGCCGAGCAGATTATGTGGCACATAGAGGCAATGCCAAAGCACTCGAGGAAATTATGTTAAGTGACAAATACACAGACCCATGGTGATGCAGCCCTGGTTGGGAAAGGATATTTGCCTGTCCTATATATAGACGCATTTGCAAACAGGCTAGCATACACGGTTTTTCGCCGATAGTTCCTTGTTCTCCAAATATTAAAGTCTACATTTCCGGCGGCTTTCACTTTTGTTTTTCCCCCTGGTCGGAAGAGGACTCACCCACACGCACGGGCACTCATACCAACATCGCGTCAAGCATCCTGCATCCTTCGTTGGTGAAATTTCTGTTCGTGCCTGGCAACGTTTTAAATTCAAATCTGTTCGCCTCCAACTGTCAGTTGTCAGCGAAAGTTCGAACGGCTAAGACGTTCAAAACGGAAAGAACAAAATCTTAAAAAATAGTTCAGTCATCTAATAAATGCTAAAGTGCACAGAATATTTTTCAAAACATAAAATACGACTTTGACACAACTATAAACATTTTAAAATATTTCGGGAAGTCTACAAAAAGTGGTGTTTTCTAAACATGTCAGCAAGGGCGTCAAGCTGATGGTTATGTAATCTCTGTGAAGATTCCAGAAATCAAACAGAATCCTTTCGCTTCGATAAAAAAAATAACTATAGTTGACTGCGAGGGAAGGGGCATTTTTGAATTCATCCGTTAAGTGAGTAATAATTTGTTATTCCGTTTATATTTTTTAAATTTAAAAATATTAAGTTAATGAAATTGACGTATTGAGAGATTTTCCCAACCATTTAAGAGATGTGACATAAAATTGTTTGGTTTTCCATTGGTTTCAAGCTGCAAAATTATTTGAGCCTATTTCTATGGCTAATTTTTTCAAAACGTCTATGGGTTAATTAAAGAGAAAAGCAGAACTAAATAATGCTATAAGCTTTATTCATGTCATGTCTAAACAACATTATTCTCACAATAAATTATTCCTAGACAAGTAAATTTGTAATTTAAATTTAGTTATTGACTGAAGTAATTAATTATGATTAGATATATAGATTCAATCTAATTCAACTTTTCTTAGCCCGTTTCCTCGTTCTATGCTACGCTAAGATTAATATTGTTATTAAAAGTATTATATTATAACTTTCCTTGATTTGATTTCCTAGACATATTTAATGCTAGTATATAAATTAAATTTGATTTAAGTCCTAAAGTTTTTCCCAACTTTTGCAACTGTAAAAGAGTCACTTAGTAAATTTTATCTTAAATACAGTTTAAAAGGACAACATTGATTAAATCCTATTAGCGAATTCATTATTCGAAATCGCTGATTCTTTAAGTTGTCCCAATTTCCCCAGAAGAATGAAAACCTCAGACTTGTGCCGAGAGCCGTGGCAATTGTCCTTGTCTAATGGGGGCTCTGTAGCACTGGCAGGATTCCTTCATTGCCCGTTTTGTTCTCCGTGTTCGTCATGTGCGATTGGGGCGGGTGCATGAGCAGGGGGCGTGGCACCCTCGCGAGTGCATAAAAAGGCGCATGGGCCACTTAAGGCACGGAACGCCCACGTCCACCTCCCACATTGTGCCCCTTCGAGTGGCTTTAATTGTGAATTAAGACGGTATTGTGCAGCGAGCGACTGGGAGGACGACAGGTATTGCTGTCTGTGCCCTGCGGCCAGGGTTGCCATCCTGCATTCGGACGCAACGCCTCCCAATGCCGAGGCTATCCATTGTCGAAGGCAACTGTTCCTTTGTCTAGGCCTCAATTAGCCTCCATTTTATTTACTTGGTTAAGCGGCATAATTGTTTCTATTTTCGTGTCAATCGCTCTCGATGCCAATGCATTGTCAATGCCAGGGCAGACCCTTCGAAAGCCTTTGATCCTCCGCACCTGGTGGCAAGGTCACGGAACAGGCCGGGAAATCGTTTCAAGTTGTTTGCATCGGCGACGACTTTTCGTCACACACTCGGCAGGAAGAACCCTGAGAATAATACTAATTCCCATCGAAAATAGGGTTCATGAAGGACTCGGAGAATTTAATTTAAAATCAATGATTGTTTTCCATGAAGATTTTCTTCTAAATCAGTTATATAAAGATTTAATAGAGATGTTCTGATTCAGAATTCAGAACATCTGAATGTATTTCATTTAATTTCTAAAAATAATTCATTGGTCATAAAATTAAAAATATTATACATTTTTTTAAAGATTTTTTCGCTTAGAAACAGTACACTTACATCTATTACGTTTTTTTTAATGAAGATTATAAATTTGGTGCCTTTATAACAGGAATAGCTCAGATAGTAATGGTGGTCCAAATAATTATTCTGGTGATCTGCACCATCTGCTTGAAGCACTACGCCAAAGGGGAGTTTCAGTGAGTATAGGAGCGCGACTTTAGCCAACCCTGCCATTATTGAAACTTAATTATTGCGTTAAATAAAGACAAAGTCTGGCCATAACCGACATTCTTCCCGAGGACATCAAGCGCTACGATAAGATGAGACCGCCTAAAAAGGAGGGCCAACCCACGATAGTCTACTTTCATGTGACTGTGATGGGTCTGGACTCTATTGACGAGAACTCCATGACATATGTGGCTGATGTGTTCTTTGCTCAGACTTGGAAGGATCACCGTCTGCGATTGCCAGAGAACATGACGCAGGAATATCGATTGCTGGAGGTGGACTGGCTAAAGAACATGTGGCGGCCCGATTCGTTCTTTAAAAACGCCAAATCGGTAACGTTCCAGACGATGACCATTCCAAATCACTACATGTGGCTGTACAAGGACAAGACGATACTCTACATGGTCAAACTGACGCTAAAGCTGTCCTGCATCATGAACTTTGCCATCTATCCGCACGACACCCAGGAGTGCAAGCTGCAAATGGAGAGCCGTAAGATTTCTCAAGATGGTTGTAAACGGTGGATCAGTTGTCTGCAATGCTGCCGATGCTTCGTTTACCACCAATTTCAGTATTTTGAACCAGTGATAATTTAATAAAATGTATTACCTTTTATAAAGTCTCCCACACCACGGACGACTTAATCTTCCAGTGGGATCCCACCACACCCTTGGTTGTGGACGAAAACATCGAGCTGCCGCAGGTGGCTCTCATCCGGAATGAAACGGCGGACTGCACACAGGTATATTCCACGGGCAACTTCACCTGTCTGGAGGTGGTCTTCACCCTGAAACGTCGCTTGGTCTACTATGTCTTCAATACCTACATACCCACCTGCATGATTGTAATTATGTCGTGGGTATCCTTCTGGATCAAACCGGAGGCGGCTCCTGCCCGCGTGACCTTGGGCGTAACCTCCCTGCTCACCCTATCCACGCAGCACGCCAAATCGCAGTCGTCCTTGCCACCGGTTTCCTATTTAAAGGCCGTGGACGCCTTCATGTCCGTCTGCACGGTGTTCGTGTTCATGGCCCTCATGGAGTACTGTCTGATCAATATCGTCCTGAGCGACACGCCCATTCCCAAGCCGATGGCCTATCCTCCCAAGCCGGTGGCCGGTGATGGGACGAAAAAGGAGGGCGAGGGCGCTCCTCCAGGAGGCAGCAATTCAACGGCCAGCAAACAGCAAGCCACCATGCTGCCACTGGCTGATGAGAAAATCGAGAAGATTGAGAAGATCTTCGACGAGATGACCAAAAACAGGAGGGTAAGCTAAAGTAGCTTAGAAATATGTAATTTTTTAGTAAGACAACACCCAGAAAAAAACCCCATAGTAAAATTGAACATATAAACTTACTTAAAATAAACTTAAAACATAATAATGTAATTATTAACATATTTAATTGGTTTATGCAATAGGAAAAATAAAGATTTCATTTATTTTTTTTATTTAAAACTACATTTTTCCATAGTTAAAATAAAAATGAAAGTTTAAGACACCTTGATTTCTACACAACAGCGCTCAGGGCTAAGTCAGTACCGAAAATATTTAATTGAATGCAACCCTGGGAGAGAAAATGTTATCTTTTTGGTTGAATTTTTTATCTAAATCATATGTGCATTCCAACCGAAAAGATTTTTGTTTGTTTTTTTAAGAAACACAGAATTTTAATAAATGTTTTTATCAAAACAGAGCGACATGACTCATGCAGTTGAAATTCGGCTGATTTAATGTACTGTCCTGTGGTTTTTTTTTTTTATACTAAATAAGTTTAAAAGTTTAAGAATCATGACATTAAGATTGTTTTTTAATTTTATTAGATTGTTACGACCACGCGACGTGTGGTGCGACCGCCGCTGGACGCTGACGGTCCGTGGATTCCGCGACAGGAGTCGCGCATCATTCTGACACCCACGATTGTGCCACCGCCACCGCCTCCGCCGCCGGCGGCACCGGAACCGGAACTTCCCAAGCCCAAGCTGACCCCCGCCCAGGAGCGGCTCAAGCGGGCCATATACATCGACCGCTCCTCGCGCGTCCTGTTCCCCGCCCTCTTCGCCAGCCTGAACGGCATCTACTGGTGCGTGTTCTACGAGTATCTGTAAGACCTGCAAGACCTGCAAGACCACCTTTGCCCTGTACATACAGTTCGCTAGGTAACTCTGGCACTGGCGCTCCAGTCGAGTGCTAAACGTTGATTGTTCGCATACATATATCGAAACGTATATCGCAAAATTAATCTTAAGCTTTCACGCACAAGCTTTAAGTCAATGAATTTTAAACATAGATGATTGTTGAACCACGAAACACATAAAAATTGACGGAGAGGATGTCAGGATAAATTACAAATTACCAATTCAATTCCTAAAATGCTTAAAGTTAATCAAGTGACGTAGTAGCTGGTGTAGATTAAGTGAATTGTAATTTAATGTCTCAAACAAATGCTTTTAATTGTAAATAAATCGAGAATCCATTTAACATTGTGGGTTAAATACATATTTTTATTTCAGTATTTGTATCAAAAAATATTTTTGAAAATGTTGTTTTATACTTTCTTTTTGAAACAAGCAAATTCAGAAAGAAAGCTTTTTCTTTTATCTGTGAACTTTGAATATAATAATTTGTACCAAAACCCTTTGTAGGAAAAAAGCTTTTATGCTGCATAAGCTAAACGCAAGCTGCGCAAAGGAGTACTGTTTAAGGTTCAACTGCTAGTTGGGGAGGTAACTGGCTAGTTTATATTCTCACATAATAATTTCTCAGCCATTTGGCCAAACTATTCATTTTTTAACACCTTTTCATCGTCTTCTTTTTATGCAGTAGCAGTTTAAGTTTATTTTTCGCTGCTTTTTCTTTTAAAGGTGTCAACATTGGGTGGAACAATGGAACTGGCTCGGTTTTCTACCTTTCACAGTTGTTGTAAAACAACTGCAGGGTGAAGAGGAACAGACTTATGAATACCCAATTAATTATGTTGGTCACACGCTCTACGCTTTTGCCTTTTCACGGTCGTTAGTGACGCTCGAGCAAAGAGTAAAAAAAACGAAAACCAAATTCACCTATTCAGCCAAAGATAGGCAGATGGAAATTGTGGAAGAGATGGCAGATCCGAGAGATCAGAGATGGAAGTTATAATTTAGTCCTAAAGCCTTGTAATTATTTACCACCACCTCAATTCCACTTAAATTTTTGGTTAATTTTGTTTTGGGTGTTTCCTCTTTATGGTGCGACGATCAATCATATGTTTCTTTGTATGTTTGCGGCTTAACCATTTGCATTTGAAGTAGGCCAGGCAAAAGAGTTCGCTTCGTTTTGGGGAAACCACACTATGATTCATCCATCCGAAAACCACATTGAACACGGGCCCAGTACTCGATGGAGTGGATTGCATTGGCAGAGGCTTCGAGAGCGGAAAAATAAGCAAAGGTTGCGCAAATATTGTGTTTTTTGAACTGGGAAATACCTAAGGTTGAGCACTATGTGGGCGTGCTCAATGCAAATTGGTTGAATGAGCTCAATTTTCAAGGAACGCAAGATGTCTAAGTTGGTCAAATATTAATTTAGTTTTTAATAGATGTATCTACATATTACCTCCTTTTTAAACAGGAAAATCCCTCTCTGAGAGTTCAAAGTCTCAGCTCTTACACAGACAATGCCCAAAGTCTGAAGAAAGTAAAAATCCAGCTGACAACCTCACGGCTACCGTCGCGGCTCTTAAGTTCCCCCAAACCCAATCCCCATGCCTCCGCACCATTTCTTTCAAAGCCGAAACGAAAATGAAACGAAATGCTCCATCGACAATAACAACAATAAAGGCCAAAGCTGCCTGACAACGACGCCACAAAATGTTATGTTGTTGCTGCTGGTGTGATGTTGTCTTCGGCTTTTGCAGTTTCAGTTTTAATTTCAGTCGAACTCGGGCAGCAACGGCACACGGAAGCAGGCCGCACACTCCGCTCAACTTCGAAAAACCCTTTAAGAGGCCCCAAAAAATAAACCGATCTTATAATCTCGATGCAATTGCACCTCGGTGTGTGAACTGCCAAAAACACCTTGTTGAAGTCGTGCAGACAGGGAAAGAAAGTGAAATTCGTGCACATTTCTCGGTCGTTTCGCAATCCAAGCGGGGCGTTAATAAAAATATATATTACAAAATTCAATTAAAGCAATTGGCAGCTCATAAAAGTTTAAACCAAGGCTAAATTGTGGTTCAGCTAAGCCAAGATAACGAAAACGAAAATAAAATAAAACGTCGACGCAGCTTAACACTTTTTAACACTTTCATTTTCGTTCGGAGTCGTTTTCGTTGGGTTCGTCATCACAAGCAGCGCGGTCGCCTTTCGTCGAGTGTGTTAAATAATAGTAAACAAAAAAGTGAACGAAACTACCACATTATTCGGCAAATGTTCGACAGCTTTGTGAACTAAAAACGGAAACTGCATTTTAAGTTGATGCTCGGCACGATGCAAGCGAAGGTGTTTCTGCTCTGCCTAGGTTGGTATAAAAAACAAAACGATAAGATACAATAGCAAATGCAGGGAGGATTGGCCCTAAATTAACCTAGATTTGGCCATCTCAAAAATGTATTGGAAATTTGGTAACAGTTTATGGTCGGCTTATGGTTAATTTGTGCTAATGGGCTGCGCAAAAAAAAATAAAGGAAAACAAAAGACTTAGGCAACGAACTTGCGCATCAATCGAAAGTCTAAATGCAGCTGATGATTGAGGTAAACATAACTTTTATTCGTGGCCATCACCATGATACGTGCAACGTGAGGTGGCTTGCAACTTTCTTTGCCCGCCACTGCCAATAAAACTTCCGCTCGGTGACGTCAGAGCCAAAGAAACCAGCTGGCATGCAAATTACATAGATACGAACACCAAGGCCAATCGCAGATCTCCCCTGGCCCGAAGTACACTTGTGTACGTGTTTCTTGGTATTACCGCAACGCCAGGCTTGACCATCTATTATGCAACAACAAAAAAAACTTGTCAACGCCGCTGTTTGTTGGCTTTTAAGTCGTTTTGGACGTTGCCGGTGCCAAAACTCCAGGCGGTTTGGCCAATTGCCTGACCATGAAGTGTTCAATTTTATGTTATTTCTGCCGCTTCGGAAATATGTGCAGCAGCTGTGCTTTTCTTTGGTTCCCCTCTGCCTCTCTGTGAGGATTACTTGGTAGTTTTCCAGCAGCACCGTTGACATCTCAACTGCTTTCTTGGGGATTTTCACTTTCGTTCACCATGCAATTACAGTAAACTCGGTTGGCTGCAGCTTACGAAACTCCTTAATTGGATTAAAACTTAAGTTTACGTTTAGGATAAAAATATAGATAAAATTTACTTTAGATTTATAGAAAAACATTTTTGCATATTAATGTGTTTATACTAATAAATTGAATTTAAGATGGCTATAAAATCTCTTGAAACTTTAAGCCAATCGCTTGTCGGTTGCTCAGTGGCTTAAGATATGTCACATAACATAAAGTTCTTAAGAAATAATTTTGATTTACTGATATTTCAAAGAATTTTCACTTTTTTCTTTTAACACAATGTGTGACACTTTTTTGGGTCAAAATGCACAAAAGTCCGAACAACAATGAACCAAAAAGAGAGCACATATCCATAGCGAATGTGCTTAGTCTGTCTAGGGCCTCCGGGGCATTCACTTTTCCCAAGAAATCATTTCTATATAAGCCCTATAATTGGCCAATATTTCATTGTGTTGGGGCGCGCACCAACAAAATAAAGCATTGCCATTTGGTATGGGCAATTTTAATTCCAAGTGAAAGTGGCAAAGTTGCAGTGCACACCTCGAAAAATGTTAATGAGCCGCCTTCGAATCTGGCATAAAAGCAAAACAAGAAAATCAAAATAAAGCAGAAAAAGGCGAAATAAAACCGAAACTGTAGCAGCTTAACCCAAATCACCGCAAGATAATCAATTTTGTTTTCCTTCGCTGCGAGGTGAAATCTTTAGCGACCTTGGGGCGCGATAACTTACATAAAGAATCATCCAGGAGGAAGTTCCTCTTCGGGGAGATCTTCTCCACCAAAAATTGTAGAGTCATTAAGCAGACAGAGACAAGCCCATTTAAAAAACCAAAGCAATCCAACCCAAACGAACTGAGATTATGTCACGGCAGCCAAGCAAAATAAGCACACAACTAAATAAACATTAAGCGCTTCAGTTGAACAACGACATACTTTCTCATTTGAGGCCCAAGGGAGGTGGGGGTGGTCCGCAGATGCGTAATGCCAATTTGTGACATTATTCAACCGGCGACGACAACGAGAGACTTTGCATAGGGCCATTGTTCGGTTTGAAGTGAGTTAGGTCAGTTAGGGGCTCGCGGATCTCCAATACTTCCTGCTTACAAAACTGTGTAAGCAGTGCGTTTCATAACTGTCAAACGGACAAATTGCAAGTGCATTAGAAAAAGAAAAGTTTTATCTATTTAATTTTCTCCATCAAAGTGCATAAACAACACTGGTTACGTTTTTTATTATAGCTTATCGTCCAGTTCATTGAGAAATTATTCACAATGGTTTTTCATAAAAATAACTTGTTAATTTTGCCTGAATAACTATATTGCAGTAAATTTCGTTTTTTTTTTTAAAGTTTATTATGCCATTACCGATAGCTATAAATATAATGACTTTTATAAGATTGATAATTAGTATATAGCCGATGATATTTATTTTATTTTTGTTACTTCATCTATACTGTTTATGTTAATTGCAAGGAATAAACATTAATTTGTTTTTCAGTGCTCTCTTTAGGATCATTTCTGCCTGTGCGAGGGCAACAAGATGACGCCGACGATGAGGAGCAGCCGCTTCATTTGACCAACGACGGTAAGTGTGATCAATATGCGGTTCGCTGTGCACGGACATTCATAACTTTAACCCTTAAGGCAGCGTCTTTCTTTCAGCCGCATCTGCACGACCGAAGACTGGGTCGCCAGCTGGACGAGGACTTGGGTCTGAGTCAGAGCTCGGCTAGCAGTGGCAGTAGCAGCAGTCAGCAGTCCAGTTCAACCGACGAGGATGAGGACGATGTGGAGGGCTCCAGCGAGTACTACGATAGCGATGAGGAGCAGTCGGAGGGCAGCAACGAATCCGTTCCCCGTTTGCTCTCACAATCCACCTTCAATCGCATCTCGGAGACCCTGGGAGCTCTGAATCATGTGGGCCACATGCTGGTGGACATAACCCGCGGTGGACAGGATCAGGCCAAAACGGAAGGGGTTGAGGACAAGAGTCAGGACAGCAGTCAGTCCTCCAGCCCAGCTTTGGGTGTTTCCAGCACCACTGAAGTGGCTCCATCATCTACTTCCTCACCTCTGGGAAAATCAGAACCCCTTCCAGGAGTCTCAGACAAACTGATGGACACTCTACCCATTACACTCTCTGCTAATAGTCTACTGCCAGCTGGAAAGCCTGCTAA